TGTGCTCTCACCTAGTATCCTCTTAACCCAGAAGCAAGAAGATTCTTCGTCTGCGCTTGCTAAGGATTTGGGCTTGAAGGAAATGTATACGGCCCAATGGAAGCAAGTACAAATTATATCAGACATGTTTTGGAAACGTTGGAGATCCCAGTTTCTACAAACGCTACAAACCAGGCGAAAGTGGCAAACGGGACAATGCAATCTGCAATTGAATGACTTGGTCCTTCTGAAGGATGTTAATGTGGCAAGATGCAATTGGCCTGTTGGTGTCATCTCTAGACTGTTTCCTAGCAGTGATGGAAAGTTGCGAAAATGTGAAGTTCGAGTTGGACACTGCGATGGTGTGCCATCAGTGTATACGCGACCGGTTACGTTACGTGATGTTATTGTCAGAGGACAAGTGAACGCAATAACTTGTTATGATGAGAACAGTAGTTAAGCAAGACATCAGACGGGGAGTGTTCTGTCTTCTCTCAGAGATTAATGTCTTTATCGATTAGTTTCACCTTCTCTTGTCGTATATAAATGTATCGACTACTTTGGGGCTCCTCGTGGTCTGACTGGGAAAAACAAATATGGCAGCGCCCTACATGTAGGCATGCTACATATTCTTATTTACAACCTTTTGGTTAAACTGTGCTAGTTCACACTTTGTAAGTATTTCTTCAAATTATAATGATGCTTAGTTTATTATTTGCAGTAACAATTTATGTATTTTCTGCATAATCCAGTTAGAAATAGGGATAATATACGTCGCCATAATTGGCAAAGCCTAACTTAGCTTGAAGTGTTGAATAATTCACCATACATATAAATGTACCTTTCCAGTTCTCGGTGAGGACTTTAGGACTATTTGTTTTGTATTGTCTAGATAAGCCCTTATGCTACAGAATGGTTTACCTGGTTTCTTGTTAGTTATTTACATAGTATCGTATATGTTTATTAGATAGAAGCTTTTGGAAGATAAATATGATGATTTCGATAAGATGGGATATGTTCGGTGATGTGTGAATCGGGTAGATTCATGTACAGAAATTGTATGCGAGATTATTATATAATTACAGTATAGGCTTTCTTGATATGTGTACATGTTTATACAGAGATAGAAGACTGTTTGGTAAGATTTGTTTATGATTTGTTGTAGCATTTCACCGCTTCATGTCCATGTGGGGTCTGTACCAGACAACGTTAACTGCTTTTGTCATCTGTACCAGATACATGTTGACTTTCGGAGTAAATGGACAAATTGGTGACACTATCTGCGATTGTGGTTCATATGTCAATCGTGCGACAGAATATAAACAGTGAATCAAATGCAAATTCAAAACTCCATACGTTTAGCTTCATGCTAAATACATGTGTAGTTCTGATTTTATTTTATAAATGTTTCAATTTTTAGATAAAATTATTATGTTTTGAAGAGTACAGTTTCTGTTTTGTTCTTGTGAACTACAGTCTGTAACCACTGGTAACCAAACCTGGACCACTTCGTTCTGGTTTCAACTTATACAAAACATATTCTAATTATATTCTAAGCCAATAGTTCCAAAATTATGGTATTTGAAATGTCTTCCGTCTAATAATGACAATGAAAGAGAAGTGTCAATATAAAATTGTATTTGTTAAAAAGTCAGCACACACATACAATACTACAAACAGGTGGTATACATGTGCATTTCGTAAATCATTTCAGTTGGTGTTTACATATCAACACCAAAATGAAATTGACAGATTTCCATCATCCTTTGATATTTACAATATAATGCAAATTCGTTAGTTTTTAAAACACTTATATTTAAAAGTACAACAATCATATTTTTGTTTTAGCATACGATACAAGAGAAAAGGAACACTATAAGTGTTGGAAACAGGAAACGATAATCTTCTTCTGTATAAAAATAAGTTTATTTCTCCGATGTTTTCCCCTTCAACACAATTCTTTATAGTAAATGTTTTGACTTTTTTGTGAGAATTTATCATAATTAATATCCATTTAGATCGAGCACTTTTATTTCACCAATAACAACTATTTTCTATGGTAGCTGTGAAAACAAAACAATTTAATTGGAGACGTCTAAATTCATCAATGCGTTTTATCAAGATTGAGAAAAGAAAAATAAACTAATACATAAAAAATACGTTTCTAGATATGATGAAATGTGTTTTCCTTATCTTAACCCAACATTCAAAACCATATTACTCATGTTGATTCTGCATATATACTAATGAATAGGAAAGTGAAACACTCGTCATAGTATTGTTATATAGTTAACCAAACAATACAAAATATTATCTAGGTCAGTCACTGTATCCTATCAATATGATGGTACGACTACACCTCGGTTGCTGATTTCCCTTTCCACAGTAATACGTGTTATATAACTGTACAAAAGCCTAGATTATCCGATTTATTTATGTGACAATACACAAAACCTGAGCATTTTGCTTAAGTAATAAAAATAAGCATAAACTGTTCCACTTCTCACTTCAACATCTAACGTTTCTGACAAATTCGCCATATTCTGGTCTTTAGTCACTGTATGTTAACACTGAATCTGGCAAGTATGCAGTTAATTACACCGCGACCTACAAAAATTTATATTATATCATATTTATAATATATCATATTGTAAGATTAAAATAAGCATTACATGCATATCTCAAATTATATTGCAAAACTGATAATATTTATTTCATTTTCAAGTTATGTTAACAAGAGTCATAGATGGCCTGTAGCACTCACCTGGACTGTTCTAAAAAACTATCATAGATGACTTTGAAGTCAAGTTAATGATTTATATGATCCAATCCGCGGTAGACTATATTCTGTTTTATATCCCTTGTTACTACTAGACTTACATACCCAGGATTCGTTATTTAAGGCCTCTTTAATATAGTTCGAAATTGAAATATTTTGACCTATGTGACATTTAAAAATTACCACCATAACCTAAATGAGAAAACACCTGTCAATTATCATCTAAGACAAGATATGGAAACAGGTTGGAAATTCGAATTTGTCGTTACTACTTTTTACACAATAGAGGATGTACATAAAACCCCTAAGCTTATTGATTTAAAACTTTATTAATATTTGGAATGCTTTTCACTTATAATGAATGTTCGACCCTGACCATCGCTTAGATAAAATATCATAACATAGAATATATTCCTTGCTGTTCTACATACTCTATCCAAGTATCATGACTCTAAACCGTGCGGTTCTTTACAGGAATGTTGTTTGATTATTGAAACACGTCTGCAGCCTCATTTACAGGGGGAACACTTTCAACAGAGGATCCTTTCTATAGCTTCTGATCATTCATCATATCTCTTAGTAGTTCAGTTCTAAATAAGAACCTGTTTAGAAAGACAGTTAATACACGGACGGATGGACGCAGAGAACGGACATTATACAATACCGTAACTCACAGACACTAAATGTCATTTGAGCTAAATCGGTGTAATTTAACATGATTGAGTAAAGTATCAAGTATGTATGGTCTTGTTTTGTTTGAAAAGTCGTATTAATTGTAAACGAATTTACCATACAACTTGATTTAGTTATATAGTTACAGAACTATTTCCTGTAATCATGCAATATCTTGACCTTCTGGATCAGGTATTTTACAACATTATCTTACAACAAAATATTATACTTGTCAATCGCTTTACATTTATAAACCCCATCGAATATAAGTCTTACACTCATAAACAGAAACATAGGTGCATAGGTATATGATAACTACTGTTATATTTTGATTATGACGACACAATTATTACACTAAATCTCGATGCTTTAGGCATTTGATAATTTTATATCAGGCGAGAACATTTGAAAACTAATGGGCTACAATATTTATGCGATTCTAACCAGCAAATCAAGTTACCATAGAAAACATGTATTTCAGTATGGACATCTGGATTTGTTTTTATCTTTGCCTTACTTTGTTAGGAACCCTTCAGTCGCATGCTCTGTATTTCGTCTAATAGAACGAGACACAATTAAGAAAACAATTCTTTACCAAAACCACTGAAATATGATCAGGAATGATTGTGTTTGATACGCAACATAAATGTGTAGAGAGTTATATTTATATATTGACTAAAGGCGTTTTAAGTCAATGTCCACAAGGGAGAGGAAAGTTGATACAGGAAAAGGAGTTCCGAATGATTGTGCTAACCTCCTTCGAGCTGCCTTAACGTTACGGGGAGAAGGGAATGTGTTGCATTTAATTTAATTTGAGTGTATTCATAATGTTTGAATCCCTGTCTAATAAAAAGTAGATTTTTTTTCTATTTTATTACCATATCCGCTGTGCCTGCATGAAAGTGCGATTTCTTTTCAATTTTTCTTTTCCATTGTTTTACGTTTCCTGTCCTTTATCACTCTTAACAAATCGTCAGTCTTTAAAGTCTATATATACAAGTTCATATACACTCACGTATAAGTAAATGTATTGAGTTACTTTCACAAGTATCGGTATAATAGATAGGCCTACACACGTGTTAATAAATGTATGGAGTTTCCTATACAAGAATCAGTATTTTAGACATTTGTTCATACACACAGGTAAACGCTAATGCGCTAAGGTTCTGTCACAGACTTGGGTGGGTATCCGCTTACGTTACAAAATCGCACATCGACACCATGACCACCATGACCTTTCCCCGGTCTCCTCCTCGTCCCCAACACAGTATGCCATGGCGGTCGAGTACCAGTCCATTTTGCACAGTTTCATTGCCTTCACAATCCTGATAACGGTTGCTTGGTCCCGGGAAGTGTTGATCCAAAGCTTGATCAGCGTCTCCACCCTACGTTTAACACTGGGCTGATCCACTTCGCACTTCTCTATGTCAGGCACAGAGAGCCCAAGCGCCAGAAACAGGTTGAAGTAATCCTTGCCTATGTTGTCTACAATTCCCCCTATTTCACTGACGAGCAGGGGTCTGTTGAGTCTATCCTCGTTAGATTCCATATCGTCTGCAATAATATACAACAGACTTTTAAGTTTCCTTAAGATATACTTGCAATGAGTCTAAAGGTTTAAACAAGTAGACCATCCTTTCACAGACTTCAATTTAGTATAGTCCTACTATACTCACGTTAAATTTAGTTATCTTATTTCTTCTACAATTTTCAAAAACTTGACAGCTGGAGACCATCCTTTCACAGACTGCAATCTAGTATAGTGCTTCTAAACTCGCGTTAAATTTAGTTATCTTATTTCTTATACACTTTTCGAAAACTTGACAGCTGGACTTACTAACTCGATAAACCGTGCTAAGTGAACTATATTTGTATATATGAATATCACAACAACGTTCATTTGTATTTATTTTCTTGACAAAGAAAAACATGTTTAGGAAAACTCGCAATATAAGCTTCCATACAGCTACTGTTTGTGCACGAAACAAACCTATTGTACATAATTTCATTTAGTCTGTACTTTGTCTCTGTTGCTATTAACTTAATATGCACCTTTTACATTTGTATCTTTATCATTCTTTATATATAACCTGGGGTGGTACATTGTTATTCGTATTAACATGGAATGACATAATTCCTGTAATAACCAGCATTTTATATACTATTGAGTGAAAAAATCCCACAAGTTCATTCGTCTACACTTTTTGTGATTCATTATTACCTAGAATGACACATTCCAAACCAGTTGCTACGGACACGCCGAGAGTGTCCGTAGCAATGTCGACCTTCGACATTGCCATTGCGATGTTACGAAACGTTTGATTCGGGTAGGCGTATGTCCACTTCAGAAACATCCTGGTTATCTGAGTGACAATTGCCAGACCCCTTGCCTGGTGCTCTATGTTCGAGATCTCTGGTAGGGACAGGCCAAGCTCGATGAACAGTTGCTCACATTCGGACGCATTGATTATGTACGACAGACGACCAAGCTCTTGGGGCGTCGGCCTTCTGTCAAGACAGGTTGCCTCTGGTGCAAAAAAAGACCCTATTATTAATCATATACTGTATTTTCCTCTTTTTAAATGTGTTTCTCGGAATGACATGCAATCCCATCTATCATTAGCTATACAAGAATTGAAAATGTCGTCTATCCATAATTATTTGGCTAGTAAATTCGGTATGTAAATTTTACTAAAGATCAGCGTTAATAGGAAAAATCATTGCATTGCTTTGTATAACTAAGCGTTTAAAAGCATATACTTGCCGTCACTGGATCCTAATCCATGTAAATTTGCGGTAAACTGTAAAGCAAAAGGTATCAAACAATCACAATCATGCAACACTACTCATGTTATTACTACAGTCATAAGACATCCACGAATATGGTATGTTTAAATTAAGGCGTTCATAAACCTCCACATGTCTGCGTAACATAAAAGTTGAAAGTTTGATCCCTCTTGTATCATATTATATGATGATACAATGTCTTGCATGTGCAGTCGCAATATGTAGAAGGTGATATTTACGGATTCTGATATATTACTGGGTGATTGCCACCTTCTCGTGAGTTATTACTTCGCTACATAAATCAAGTTTTACCTGTGTTATGCCCCAAAACAACAGGTCTGATTTCTTCAGTCGGTGTTTTCCTCGACATCCCCCTCCTTTACATGACATGCCTCCTTCTGCGTGAATGACACTGTAGAGCTCTACAGGAGTGTCGTACGGACTAAGATGGAAGTTACAGTGCAGTTTGTGTGTGAACTGAAAGTGTTGCTGGCTACTCATCTGCAAAGTCTCCTTCAAAATCTGCTCTAGAGTGGTTCTAACAAGTTGTCCAGAGTTTGGAGGAAGTTTGGATTCTGAAGGACTGAACAATGTTACTGCAATTGTAGACCGCTCCCAATGCATCGACACGATCATCCTGCAAAGATCGTTCACCTCGAAACAGCCAAATCCCCTGAAAAGACAGGTTGTATCTTCTGTCGTCAGCAGATTTCTCCTTAGATCGTCTCCTACGTGTGTTGCTAATAGTGATGCTGATCTGTAAGTCTTCATGATTGCGGCAAAAACTCTGTGGAACAGCTCTTCTGGTACAAAGACATCATGGAATATGAGACATAAGGTTTTTGAGACAGCAAGTTTTTTCAGCTTGAGGTAATTGACGCATGTGATCATACCATCGGTGTTTTGTAGCTCCATAAGTTTGCTGGGAATGGAATACGTCTCACTGAAACGTGCATTTCCTGTACTGGATTCCGAAATCAGTATCCGTACCATCAGTCCAAACTTTTCCATCAGAGCCAGGAGAATTGGCTTATGGGGCAGGAACTCCTCATTTTTTTTATAGGCTGAGTAGGGCATCTATCAAGGTCTGAGTCAACTCGCCCTTTGTCTTGTACAGCTCTAAGTCTCGCGACAGCACGATGTTGTCTTTTGGAAGAAACTTATCGTCTGTAATCAGGAGACTGAAGCAGTCAGCAAGCCACTGGGGGTCGTTGATGACGTGGTCAAACTCCCGAAAATATATCACAGACCGCGTGCAATGGAGGTATCTAGACAGAAGTTATATCATGATTAAGAAACACATATTACAGCAGAAAGGTTTAGTTTAGATTAATATGATTTAAATTCATATTAACAGAATATTATCAATGCTATTGTTGTCACTAAAAACACACGACTGAGTTCTTTTAGTAATAAGCAATAACAAATTTTCATAAGATTCTCTTTTCTTTATATTAATTTTGGGAAGGAAGCTCTCACGATGTAAGCATACAAACAATTTGTCCGGAAAACACCCAAAAACAAATCTGTGTTAAACAGTGAATACTGGACAATGCTTCCATGAAAACACCATTGGATCCTTTAAAGTTATAATCTTACAATATTTCAATAAATTTAAGTATTTATCTATGTAACGAAAATGTATATAATACTCACTCTAGCGCCAGCACGACCTCATCAACATCCTCCAGTGGGGCTATGGACGTTTCGTTCATTTCAATCACCTCCGCCAATGTCAGTATCTTAGTCCCACTTTCCCGTGCTTTTAGTAAATCCATCTCGAGCTTTAACCATCTGGTAGGTAGTTTTCTCCCCCATTGATCCTGATGTTCGGCTAATTCTATGATAGTTTCTCGTAATTGATTCAAGTTTGCATCATCAATGCGGGAAGGTGATGGCGGAAATGGATTTTGGACTTCTGTCCTGGGAACATAAAGCAATGGCAGCTGGGCTGGTTCCGTACCTTGACTATTATCAAGTGTACAGAATCTGACAAACTTGGGTGATGAAAGTTCGGGGAATTTGGAAATGCTTGACTGTATAGCCTGTACCTGTCTGTCATAGTCCTGGTATGATAATTAAAAGATAATACTTTAAACATGACATGAGCTATCAATGATATATACTATGCCAAAATCCAATTTCGTTAAAGAAATAAAATACATAAATATAACAATATTTTAACGACAGTACTGATATGAAGTAATATTTCTTATTTGGCTGATATCTATTTTTCTGATAATAGTAAATTATTAAAAAGCATACTCAAATGACTTGTTTTTACTGTCATAGCAAAATACAATATATACGCTTCTATACAGAGTAAAGTTAAGTAAAAACTGTAATCACATCACAATTACCTTGATACATTTAAAACAAAATAAACAGTTACATGATATAAAAGCATGACGTTGCATAGCACAGATTAATCATCATATAAAATATTGCTAAAGCAGTTATGTCATAAAATATAAAAAGGCAAAGCCTTAAAATAGCGTAGCTTTTGTTGATCTCTGATATTTACTAATTCAGAATGAGACAATTGATTTCAGAAAGAGATAAGATCAACTGTATTTAAAGTCGGCTAGTCGAGGAATAACAATAAAACATAAGCTCTAATGAAACTTATGACCGACATAACAATAAGGGGAGACCGGACCCCATTTTTCGGTCATCTGAGCTTTAGCTCAAGCTACCTATTGCTATCCGTCTTCGTCCGTCGTCGTGGGTCGTGGGTCGTCCGTTAACATTTTACATTTGCAACGTTAGCTGAAATACTGTCGGGAGGATTTAATTTATGTTTCCTGTGAATGGTACTGACATCTGCCTGACCAAGTGTTTTATTTTTCGGGTCGCTCAGAATACCAATATGGTTGCCAATGTCTCCATTTTGAAAAAAAAATATTCAAACTTTAAGTCAAGTTTAAAGGGACGAATTAACTGAAAACGTGTCGGAATGAACGACACATGGTCCTGACAAAGTGTTGTTATTTCTCGTGTCCATCATAAATCCAATATGGCCACCAATGCCTCCATGTTGAAAAAGACTATATACTAGGTCAAGGTCACCGTTATTATTTATAGAAAAGTTTTAAACAGTGAGATACATTTTCTGTGGCGGAGGGCATTCATGTGTTACACACTTCTCTAGATTTACTTAAACTTGGTAGTGATAACTGACTGATGGACTTCGCACTGGTGAAATACATTTTTTTTTGTATGACAAAAAATGCACCATTCTCCTTTGACATCATTATTTCAACAACAACAGCAACATACTGTAGGTATCATGTGACCGTTAAGGCCCATGGACCTATTGTTATTCAAGTCCGCTCTGGGTAGTATGGTAGAACTTACGTTTTGAACATTATGTAACCTTTCCTGTCGGAAGATCGGATGGCCAAACGAGCCCCGCCATGGAAAAGGTTCGGACAGGCATTCGGGTAAGTTCGGCTCCCATTAGAATCAGCTTAATCATGGCGTCATAAAGCATGCAGCGTCAGATATTACCGACAATTTTACGACTTTTTATGTGTGACATTTGCCGAACCTGTCATGGTATCATTAACCGAACCTTTCCGGACCCAAATTGATATTTCAATCAATTCTTATCGTACAGCATTATGGTAGTAAGTGCGTGGCTTGCCTTTATGTAAATCATTTCAAGCTGGCAGTGTGTTAAACGTTTGACCGTAACAAAGTTTCATTTCCGTTTAAAGAAAGTTCGCATAACAAGAAGCGAGATCATGATTTTTTTATACCCTCTCAAAAGTCATTTCTCCTGTTTAGTAATTTTGCATTAGAGTTTTTCTCGCAATTTTTTCGTGTGAATGCCCATCAAACTTACATTCTAAGATCCTTTAAGATGTAAATATTAGCTCAAAACAAAAATATCAGGGATGGCCGAACTTGCCCCATTCTGCCGTAGGTAGATTCTTTGTATCATAGATGATTGGTAAAAATGTATTCACAATATATTTTTGGCATCAATTACCCCATGATATTCCAGTCAAAGCTTAAGCAGATATTCGTTTTTTTGTGCGTAACGTATATGATGGGTCGGCTTGCGCAGTGGATATTCACCAAGATAGCCGGATTCAATCCCGGTCACTTGCCCGACTATGCAGGTTTTCCCCGGAGAGAACGAGGAATTAAATCCTCTGCGTGCTTCCGTCGGGGCACAAAAAGAATAATTGAGATATTGCTATAGAAAAAAAAGTGCACATTACATTTTTGACGATAAATCTAAGTAAATGTATATAGATGTTAGTTAAAAAAATGAAATTAAAACAAGAAAACATTGTTATACTTTGATTTGACAGATTCTCGGTATATAGATTTGGAGTCTCAATTCATGTTCCATCCTGAAACACCGGATTGAATTTTCCATTTTATTACTGTCACCGAGGTTTGACAGGTTAGGATGCCAAATCAAATTTAACTAGGTGTAAATCGGCACGCGTTGTGAAAAAGTAATGCGTTGCTGAAAAAGGGCATTGAACTCAGGTTGGTGATCTGGAAAATTATTGTTGATTTCGATATAAACGCATTATGCTTTGTTCTTTTATGAGTGGTGATGCATAACTTAATTATGTAAAGACTATAACCAGACTTTCAAAAATGTTAATTATTTCGTTCATATTCTCAATAAATGAAAATCAAAAGCCGATGATTTTTTAGACGATGAACAAATAGATGTACACGTTGACCTATTGATTTAGTGCTGGCTCTTTTTGAAGATATATCCCGGTAGAAACATTAACAGAACCTGGTTGATGACAAAAAGGATCTTCAGAAATTATCCGCATTTTTTACCTTTTGTGGTTGTAGCACAAATAGAAATAAAAAAAAAACCATAGGCAGATAAATACAACGGACATCTCCGGTTATTTTTCATCCGTCTGGAAATAACCGATTAAGAACGATGAAGTGTGACGTGTTTGTGACGTCATAGTAGGATAATCTCTGAACGAACTTTCATGCTTGTTTGTATCACATTTTATGTAATAGACTTTTTTCTCTCAGAATGTATATTCGTTTTTATCTAAATAAAAAAAAAGTAATTAAACATGAAGATTGTTTTCACTATATGACCATGTATGTCTTGAAACTCAATTGTATTTGCCTCAAGGACACACTTCTATTTTCCCCAGTGGACGTCTACTTCCGGACGAAACAAAAATAAAGGCAATGTGTAGCAGGGGAAGCAACTCTGTTTACGCACGCATGTGCTACCATTTAGGAGCTTCGCTCTTGTTAATAAATTGACCCAAATTTTCACAGATAACAGTTCAGAAGTGATCGGGATAACCCCTACGTAACAAGCTCTTTAAAATTAATAAATAAGTTAGTGATGATAACACATAAAATTACATTGATTGTCTCGTGTTTTTCCGCGATAATACATAGACGTTGAAATAAGGGGAAGTGTGTAATACGACAACTGAACAGATTAATCACTCACCGTGGAGTTTTTCTGGAGTTCATCAAGGAATGTGCCGACAAATATCAGTGGAGGTTCATGTTCTTTTAGCTTCGGCGCATTCAATTCAACTGACGAAAAGGTGCCAATCATTCGAATCCATTTCTTTAGTCTGTCTGGACGCAGAAACATTTAATGTAGATTTGAAATACAATTATCAAAGAAATTTCAACGAAAGAAAAATATTTATGAAATAATCTTTGTATCATTTTCGTAGATTTTACCCATAATTCCTGCGACTTCAAACGTTGGATGCGGCACTACCACCACGTTAAAGTTCGAATATGTCAGTTTGTTAGTATTACAGCATTTTTTTTAAAAATTTCGGTCTTAATTTTTGACAATATAACTAATGTTTTTTCTATGTGAGTATTACACTGTAGTCACTATGAGGTAACTCACTGATCGATTAAACTTTAAAACTTCTTCTATTTTTTCTAAACCACTTGGAATGAAACAATAAAAATGTTGCAGTGAATATGTTTACCTTTCCTTTTTTCTGGACGGACATTTGACGTTTATACTAATTCGAAGTATTTTTCAATCCTACAACGTTTCTTATCGTGATACATTTCGTGGTTACATGTAGCTTGTTTGCTCGTGGCTACGACGTCATTTTGGTATCTTAATCTTTAACGTAACGTCCGCATCCATCACCGATTCTATTCATCGACAAAAAGTGCTCCTTTGGGCAATGGCTACAATAAGTTTAAATCTTAGAAATGATTCTAACGTTCTATCGCGACAACAAGTCAAGTACGGATGCTTATATCATAAACTTACATCTATATCTGCATTTATTATGTTTTTCTAATCTTTATCGATTGTTGCAATATCATCATCTATTTTTTTTCTCTGGTTTGTCTTTGGATCAATCGCATCACCTTGCTGTCTACGATGTTTAGTCTTGCTACATGACGCACAGATTAAATTAATTTTCGATTTTGTTAAACCATTTAAATTTTTACACATGACATCGATCATGATTCAAACGGTTTATGGCCGGTTCTCAAATAATATTATGTTACTTGAGACCCTTCATAAAAACGTTTGCATTTGAAAAAAAGTATATGTCCGTTTTTTCTTTTTGGTTTAGACGTAACGCAACTAAGAGTTGCTTTCACAATTGACTTGTAAAGCCTATCCGAAAATATCGATTCTGCTTTACTGAATTCGACTACTTAACAACAATATGCGGTTTTAATCAAAATCAGATCTAATTCGGTAAATGCAAAATAGGCAACAGGAGCCAATTATTGAGGACTTAGATTCGAATTCAAAACTGTTTTTCTTAGATTTGAGAATTTAAATTATTGCTAATACTAACGTTGTTCTGTACATTTTTTTTAAAATTTGGCTGGAACATAATTTTATATATAAATAGAGGAAAAGGATATATCAATGTATGTGATAAAGATAAAAACAACTTACCAGTTTCCAGTTTGTCTTTGAGAAAATCTGTCAGTCTGAAGACTAGCAGGTAAACGCCATGTGACGAAACGAACACATTGTGCGAAGCCTGAAACGACGAGTGTCCACCCATATCCCACAGAGATAGGAGAACCCCATCTGTGTTGGCATGCTGTGAAGCTTCTTGGACTGCAATGCATTCCTCATATAGGTCATTCTTTTGTGATGTCGTCATTGATAAATCTGTCGCGCCCTCTCGTAATCCTAATGTAGTGTACAATGAAATTTAAGAACAAGGCTTTCAAAATAGCTCATTCGTGTTGATACAATACATACAATATATATGTAGATACAATACATTTCGAGCGCAGGCTTACGCACAGGGAGATATTAATCAGGTTGCATATGACTTTGTAGTAGTTAGCGCCTGATAAGGCAACTACTGCAAAATTGTATTGATATCTATATGCTAATTGTATTGATTGTATAAATTGTATATCAATGTATTGTAAAGCTCATTAGAATTGCTTATTCTAGCTAGATGGAACGCTATATAAAATGTTGTATATTTTTGATTATTTTAATTTATATAAATATAACTTGCTTAAGCGATTTACTTCCCAGATGTAGCATTTCCAATATGTGTATCAGATACCTTTATATGCAAAAGATAGTTATATTCGTTGTTATTTTCACACTATGTTATCCTGAGAATGGACATCTCTAAGACTTTATAGTACAATTACTGATATCCTTGTAATCAAAATCATGGATGAAAAACATCTCTGAAATGTACAGTAAAATACCTGTCTGCAAACCAGCTTTTTTGTTTGTTTGTGCTTTCTTCATCGTTATGCCCAGACGGATTTCCAATATCTCGCTGGCTGATTTATCATCGTTTTGTATCCACTCCTTAGATTTCTTGTCCACGGAGAACCAATTAGGATGTAAAACAGCTCCCACAGTTGGTTTGCGAATGTTGAGGTCGACCTCTTTCTTTTGTAGCCGTTGACACGCCGTTGTTTTACCAGCGCCTTCTCGGCCGGTAAAAACAACGCGTACATGTCGATAAATCTCCACGTCTCCTTTAAACATCTCCACGTACATTTCAAAGCTTTTTGGTTCTGAAAGGACAAAATCTTAAATAAATAAGGTGCCATATTGTCAAACTCTTTGTCGTTATGAAATTGCAAACCAACGTACATTTCACGACTTACATCATAGACGATCAAGAGGAAAAGGTAGAGGCAACCGTGAATCTTTGTTTAATATATGTATTGTTTGTTAGTTGTACGATTGAAACAGGAAACAAAATAATCAGTTAATATTCATATATTAATAAAAAAAAAATTGTCTTCTGACAAATTATTTACATAATGTCGAAATATGTATTGTTTCCCACATGCCTAACCGCCAATTATTTTTATTAAAGAGAGCACGTTTTGTTTAAACCTATTAATATGACAATCTTAATGACTATTGTCGAAGCTCTATTTTTAATGGAATCTTAAATGCTACTATTTTGTTAAAATAAGGATTGTATAGCATGCAATAACTATATATTAAGAAGATTTATGACATCAACAAGCTGTGTTTATTACTTCAAATAGGATTTCTGCATTAATTAAAACAAATAGTGTTAAAGTTGCGTAAACCTTGTTTACTCTTACAGAAGAAAAAACTGATGACATCTGTCCAAAGCTATTCTTGATAAATTTATAATTTTTATCGTGACGTTAAAATTGTGTTTGTTTAGCATGCAATTACTTGAATAATTAAAAGATATATGACACCATACATGATACTTGACACAATATTCTAATATATATATAAAAAAACGTATTAGGGTATCAATTAAAAAAGTAGTGTATAGTTGACGGAGGCAGTGATTGATGATTAAAACAAAACTAATTCTTACGTTCTGTAGTTAGATCCAGACACTAATTGGATAAAGCACATTTGGTATTCAACAAGACATAGATATTACATGATTAAAAGAGTAGATGAAGACAAAATTGTCATAATTTTAAGACATTAAGAAAATAATGTAGCACCTTGATGAAATAATATCCAAATCCATCTTGTTTTCCAATAAATGTCTAATATAATTTACGTAAAAGAATAACCTTCATCTTAGAATGTTTCAACCTGATTTTCTTAATGACACACATCAAAATCCAATGGTAGCTGATATTGTTGTGTCTATCGTGATGTTAAAATTGTCTAGCCTGCAATTACTCGTCTATTTAGAAGATATGTGACATTAGCTTAAAATGAGATTCTCATATTAACTAAACAAGTGGGGTATAGGTGGCGAAACACTGAATGATGATTAAAGTAAAACTAATACTAACGTCCTGTTGGCTGATCTAAACAGACAATGGCAGGCGTAAACAAGAAATAAATAGAAATGAGCATCATCAGGAAATCAGCGTAGGTAGTGTCTGTTGCATGAATGCTTATTGGAAAAAGCACATTTGTTATCAACAAGACATAAGTTTCAACAATATATAGCAAATCGGTCTTGTTTTCCAATAAATGAACCGTCTTATATCATTTAGCTAAAAAAGAAACTTCATCTTAGAATGTTTAAACGGATTTTCTTTAGAACACATATTAAAATACAATTGTAAGTGAATGTTCAATGTCTATCGAGATGTTAACCTTGTTTGTGTCTAGTATTACTTGTATATTTAAAGTATAAATGACATTAACTAAATGCGTGTAATAGTTAAAACAAAGATTCTCATATGTATTAAACAAGTAATGTAAAGGTGGCGGGGGGCACTGATTGATGACTAAGACAAAACTAATACTTACCTACTGTTGTTAGATCCAACCAGACCAAGGCAGGATTAAACAAGAAATAAATGGAAATGAACAACATCGGGAAATCAGCGGAGGTATTATCTGTCGCATGAATACTTATTGGATAAAGCACATTTGTTATCAACAAGACATAAGTTTCAACAATATATAGCAAATCTGTCTTGTTTTCCAATAAATGAACCGTCTTATATCATTTAGCTAAAAAAGAAACTTCATCTTAGAATGTTTAAACGGATTTTCTTTAGAACACATATTAAAATACAATTGTAAGTGAATGTTCAATGTCTATCGAGATGTTAACCTTGTTTGTGTCTAGTATTACTTGTATATTTAAAGTATACATGGCATTAACTAAATGCGTGTAATAGTTAAAACAAAGATTCTCATATGTATTAAACAAGTAATGTAAAGGTGGCGGGGGGCACTGATTGGTGACTAAGACAAAACTAATACTTACCTACTGTTGTTAGATCCAACCAGACCAAGGCAGGATTAAACAAGAAATAAATGGAAATGAACATCATCGGGAAATCAGCGAAGGTATTATCTGTCGCATGAATACTTATTGGATAAAGCACATTTGTTATTCAACAAGACAAAGATATTATTTGATAAGTCGAGTAGATTATGCCAAAATTGTCGCAATAGTGTTTAGCCATTGAGATCATAATGTATCAAATAAATGTCATAATTACCTAATCTATCTTGTTTTCAAATGAATTAACCGTCTTATATTATTAAACAAATGAGAAAACATCTTCTTAAAATGTTTTTAACCTGATTTTGTTAAGGACACATGTCACAGTACTATTGTATGTGAATTGATAATGTCTACCGTGATGTTCTAACTGTGTTTGTCTAGCAAGCAATTACTTGTACATTTAGAAGATATATGACATTAACCAAACGGTATGATGTTTGAAATGGGATTCTTATACTAATTAACAAGTAGTGCATAGGTGGCGGAAGCACTGATCGATGATCAAAACAAAACTAATACTTACGATATGCTATTAGATTCAAACAGACCAAGGCAGGAGTAAATAAAAAATAAATAGAAATGAACATCTTCAGAAAATGTGCAAAGGTATCATCTGTCGCATGAATATTTATTGGATTAAGCACTTTTTTTTCAACAAGACATAGATAGTATTTGTTACTCCGCGTAGATTTTGCCAAAATTGTAGCAATAATGTTTAGCTATTGAGATAATTATTTTGGAAGATTAACGACATTAACTAAATGTGAATGGTATTTGAAATGAAATTCTCATATTAATCAAAAAAGTAGTGTATAGGTGGCGGAAGCACTGATTGATGATTAAGAACAAAACTTATACTTACATTCTAGTGTTAGATCCAACCAGACCAAGGCAGGAGTAAACAAGAAATGAATAGAAATAAACATCAGCAGGAAATCAGCGTAGGTATTGTCTGTCGCACGAGAACTTATTGGATAAAGCACATTTGTTTTTCAAAAGGACATTGATATTATGTTTAAAAACTGAGTAGAGAATTCCAAAATAGTCACCATTATATTTAGTCATAGAGAACATAATGTAACACATGGATGACATAAAGACCAAGTCTGGCTTATTTGCCAATGCATGAACCGTCTTATAATAATAAACTCAAGAAGATCCTCATCTTAGAATGTTTTAACCTGATTTTCTTAATGACACATATCAAATTTATATTGTAGATGAATTAGTAATGTCTATTGTGATGTTAAAATTGCTTTTGTAAAGCATGCAATTACTTGTATATTTAGAAAATATATGACCTTTTCTAAATGTGTATGGTTTTTTAAAATATTATTTTGATGTGAATAAGAACAAGTAGTGTATAAGTGACGGATGTTCTGATTAACGATTAAAACAAAACTAATATCTAATAACTGTTGTTAGATTCAAACAGACCAAGGAAGGGGTAAACAAGAAATAAATTGTAATGAACATCATCAAGCAATCAGCGAAGGTATTGTCTGTTGCATGAATACTTATTGGATAAAGCACATTTTGTTTTTTAACAAGACATAGATATTATTTTATATGCCGAGTAGATTATGCTAAAATTATCGCATAATTTTTTTGCAATTGAGATCACAATGTAACACATGGATGACATAATGACCAAATCTATCTTGTTTTCAAATGAATGAACCGTCTTATATAATATGTAATAGATACATAATGTGCACGAGTGATGCATCGGATATATCACACTTGTCCGTCAGGACGAGTGTGATATATCCCATCCGTCACGAGTGCCAATTATGTATCTGTTTTATCCAATGACCGCCGCGGTTTTTGTCACCCACTTGTCAAGGGGCGGAGCTATACAGCTGATCAGAACCTGTCAAGTTATCACTTTGATGTTTTCCCGCCACTTTCTGACCCATCCCATTTCCTGCCACAGTATTAATTTCAGTCTCAGGTGTCAATGATGGTGGATCAGGCATGGAATGACCTCATAAACATTGACACCGATGTTTTCAGAGATCTGGATGATATATCTTTATCACAGGCCGTCGACAAGTATGAATTGGAACTGAAAGACATCGACGCAATGGAGTTTAAGGTCGACTATTTGATTCAAAGCAGTGGTTGGATGGGTGTTTAAATGACAAATGTGTACCACATCCCTTTACCAAGCCGGTAAGTCTGAACTTAAAGCGTATCTAAACATAATTGTGAATCACGAAAATGTTAGCGTGTGTATACATGTATGTTTTTTTTTAATCAACCAAATAGAATAAATGTTCTTTTTCGGATATGAAAATAACTTTCGATGTCCATAAATAACATAAATCCTAAATAATCCATTAACACGATATTTGAAGTTAAATTACATACAGACGCGTTATTTATTTTGTTTACATATTCTCCAATTTATGATTATTTATCAACTTTTTTTCACAACGCATGTGAGTACTGATAAAGAATCTATTACAATACAATGTAGTGATGAAACAATTATTATTTTTTATGTGATTTTTTTTAAAATTGGATTTGCATGTTATACGCATTGCCATTAACCTAAGTGTTACACGATAAAATGTCCATTTATTTTCTTCTTTCATTAGGTTTTGATGAACAGTTGATTATGGAAAGGACTGGACATTGCAGTACCGCTGTCCGTGCCTACAAGATATCGTCCGAGGCGCAACAGGTGGAAATAAGCCGGGCATTAGAGTGTGGGAAAAGTGCGATCTAGAAGGTCAAGACCGAAACAGAAGAAAACAAAGAACATGACATTTGGAATGATATGGGACCTATGCCTAGTCGTTCTCAGTATCAGTTGCATAATTGCCACGTGGATTTCTATTCCATGTAATGCATGTACCAATTGCAGTGCTGTCGCGTAAGTAACGCGTTTATGTAGCTACATGACTGTTTGTGTTTTGCTGTTAAACTTTGTCTACGTGTAACGTAGCGTGAAAAAATATAATACCAACACATTATTGGTGCCAGATAGAGAAATACTTTTTTTTACACTTACGGTGTCTAAATTTAATTAAATGTGTTTGCAATGTTTTTCGTGTCTTTGTTGATTTGTCACGCCCACTTTAAAATGGGCACCGCCTCCAGACTGTGGCATGGACCAATCAGAAAAGCCATGTGATATTTCAGATAACACATATGTGATATCTGAAATATCACACGGTATGCAATATAAGAAAAGATCAAAGAAAAACCGAGGCGTCATTGGATAAAAACACAAGGAGAAACTTCATCTGCGAATGGTTTAAACGGATTTTCTTTAAAACACATATTAAAATCGAATTGTAAGTGAATTTGTAATGTCTATCAAGATGTGGAAATTGTTTTGTCTTGCATGCAATTACTTAAATATTTGGAAGCTATATGACATTACCTAAATGTGTATGACATTTGAAATGAGTTTCTCATATTAATTAAACAAGCAGCGTACAGGTGGCGGAAGCACAGATTGATGATTAAAACAAAACTAATACTTACTTGCTGTTGTTAGATCCAAATCCGACCATGGTAGAAGTAAACAAGAAAAAAAAATAAAAGAATGAACAACATCATCATGAAATCAGCGAAGGTATTATCTGTCGCATGAATACTTATTGGATAGAGGACATTTATTTTTTAACAAGACATAGATAGTATTTGTCACTCCGTGTAGATTGTGCCAAAATGGTAGCAATAATATTTAGCTATTGAGATAATTATTTTGAAAGATTTACGACATTAACTAAATGTGTACGATATTTTAAATGCAATTTTCATCTTAATTAAACAAGTAGTGTACAGGTGGTGGAAGCACTGATTGATGATTAAAACAAAACTAATACTTACATCCTATAGATAGATCCAACAAGACCAAGGCAGAAATAAACAAGAAATAAACAGAAATAAATATCATCAGAAAATCATAGTTGGTATTGTCTGTCGCACGATTACATATCGGTTGAAGCACATTTTGTATTCAACAAGACATTTACTGTACGTTATAAACTGAGAAAATTATTCCAAAGTCGTCGTCATCATTTCAATCCATTAAGAAAATAATGTAACACCTTGATGACATAATGTCCAAATCTATCTTGTTTTCCAATAAATGAACCGTCTAATAATTTTTTTTTAAAAAAAGGAGAAACTGCATCTTAAAATGTTTCAACAGGATTTTCTTAATGTCAGATTCCAATTGTAGGTGAAATTTTAATGTCTATGATGTTAAAATTGTGTTTGTCTAGCAAGCCATTTCTTGTATATTTAGAAGATATATGACTTTAACATAACAGTATGGTATTTGAAATGGGATTCTTATATTAATTAACAAGGAGTGCATAGGTGGCGGAAGCACTGATCGATGATCAAAACAAAACTTATACTTACGATATGCTATTAGATTCAAACAGACCAAGGCAGGAGTAAATAAAAAATAAATAGAAATGAACATCATCAGAAAATGTGCAAAGGTATTATGTGTCGCATGAATATTTATTGGATTAAGCACTTTTTTTCAACAAGACATAGATAGTATTTGTTACTCCGCGTAGATTTTGCCAAAATTGTAGCAATAATGTTAAGCTATTGAGATAATTATTTTGGAAGATTAACGACATTAACTAAATGTGAATGGTATTTGAAATGAAATTCTCATATTAATCAAACCAGTAGTGCATAGGTGGCGGAAGCACTGATTGATGATTAAGAACAAAACTTATACTTACTTTCTAGTGTTAGATCCAACCAGACCAAGGCAGGAGTAAACAAGAAATGAATAGAAATAAACATCAGCAGGAAATCAGCGTAGGTATTGTCTGTCGCACGAGTACTTATTGGATAAAGCACATTTGTTTTTCAAAAGGACATTGATATTATGTTTAAAAACTGAGTAGAGAATTCCAAAAAAGTCACCATTATATTTAGCCATAGAGAACATAATGTAACACATGGATGACATATTGACCAAGCCTGTCTTATTTGCCAATGCATGAACCGTCTTTGTTGACTTGTCACGCCCACTTTAAAATGAGCACCGCCTCCAGACTGTGGCATGGACCAATCAGAAAAGCCATGTGATATTTCAGATATCACATATGTGAATCTAAAATATCACACGGTATGCAATATAAGAAAAGATCAAAGAAAAACCGAGGCGTCATTGGATAAAAACAAAAGGAGAAACCTCAACTGCGAATGGTTTAAACGGATTTTCTTTAGAACACATATTAAAATCGAATTGTAAGTGAATTTGTAATGTCTATCAAGATGTGGAAATTGTTTTGTCTTGCATGCAATTACTTGAATATTTGGAAGCTATATGACATTACCTAAATTTGTATGATATTTGAAATGAGTTTCTCAAATTAATTAAACGAGCAGCGTACAGGTGGCGGAAGCACTGATTGATGATTAAAACAAAACTAATACTTACTTGCTGTTGTTAGATCCAAATCCGACCATGGTAGAAATAAACAAGAACAAAATAGAAAAGAACATCATCATGAAATCAGCGAAGGTATTATCTGTCGCATGAATACTTATTGGATAGAGGACATTTATTTTTTAACAAGACATAGATAGTATTTGTAACTCCGTGTAGATTGTGCCAAAATGGTAGCAATACTATTTAGCTATTGAGATAATTATTTTGAAATATTTACGACATTAACTAAATGTGTACGATATTTGAAATGAAATTCTCATATTAATCAAACCAGTAGTGTATAGGTGGCGGAAGCACTGATTGATGATTAAGAACAAAACTTATACTTACATTCTAGTGTTAGATCCAACCAGACCAAGGCAGGAGTAAACAAGAAATGAATAGAAATAAACATCAGCAGGAAATCAGCGTAGGTATTGTCTGTCGCACGAAAACTTATTGGATAAAGCACATTTGTTTTTCAAAAGGACATTGATATTATGTTTAAAAACTGAGTAGAGAATTCCAAAAAAGTCACCATTATATTTAGCCATAGAGAACATAATGTAATACATGGATGACATAATGACCAAGTCTGTCTTATTTGCCAATGCATGAACCGTCTTATAATAATAAACCCAAGAAGATCCTTATCTTAGAATGTTTTAACCTGATTTTCTTAATGACACATATCAAATTTATATTGTAGATGAATTAGTAATGTCTATTGTGATGTTAAAATTGTTTTTGTAAAGCATGCAATTACTTGTATATTTAGAAAATATATGACCTTTTCTAAATCTGTATGGTTTTTTAAAATATTATTTTGATGTGAGTAAAAACAAGTAGTGTATAAGTGACGGATGTACTGATTGACGATTAAAACAAAACTAATATCTAATAACTGTTGTTAGATTCAAACAGACCAAGGAAGGGGTAAACAAGAAATAAATTGAAATGAACATCATCAAGCAATCAGCGAAGGTATTGTCTGTCGCATGAATACTTATTGGATAAAGCACATTTTGTTTTTCAATAAGACATAGATATTATTTCATATGCCGAGTAGATTATGCCAAAATTGTCGCATTAATTTTTTGCAATTGAGATCACAATGTATCACATGGATGACATAATAACAAAATCTATCTTGTTTTCAAATAAGTTAACCGTCTTATATAATATGTAATAGATACATAATGTGCACGAGTGATGCATCGGATATATCACACTTGTCCGTCAGGACGAGTGTGATATATCCCATACGTCACGAGTGCCAATTATGTATCTGTTTTATCCAATGACCGCCGCGGTTTTTGTCACCCACTTGTCAAGGGGCGGAGCTATACAGCTGATCAGAACCTGTCAAGTTATCACTTTGATGTTTTCCCGCCACTTTCTGACCCATCCCATTTCCTGCCACAGTATTAATTTCAGTCTCAGGTGTCAATGATGGTGGATCAGGCATGGAATGACCTCATAAACATTGACACCGATGTTTTCAGAGGTCTGAATGATATATCTTTATCACAGGCCGTCGACAAGTATGAATTGGAACTGAAAGACATCGACGCAATGGAGTTGAGGGTCGACTCTGGACTATTTGATTCAAAGCAGTGGTTGGATGGGTTTTTAAATGACAAATATGTACGACATTCCTTTACCAAGCCGGTAAGTCTGAAATTAAAGCATTTCTAAACATAATTGTGAATCACGAAAATGTTAGCGTGTGTATACATGTATGTTTTTTTTATAATCAGTCAAATAGAACAAATGTTCTTTTTCGGATATGAAAATAACTTTTGATGTCCATAAATAACATAAATCCTAAATAATCCATTAACACGATATTTGAAGTTAAATTACAGACGCGTTATTTATTTTGTTTACATATTCTCCCATTTATGATTATTTATTTACTTTTTCCGCAACGCATGTGAATACTGAAAAAGAATCTATTACAATACAATGTAGTGATGAAACAATTATTAATTTTTATGTGATTTTTAAAACTTTGATTTGCATGTTATACGCATTGACATTAACCTAAAGGTTACACGATAAAATGTCCATTTATTTTCTTCTTTCATTAGGTTTTGATGAACAGTTGATTATGGAAAGGACTAGACATCGCAGTACCGCTGTCCGTGCCTACAAGAGACCGTCCGAGGCGCAACAGGTGGAAATAAGCCGGGCATTAGAGTGTGGGAAAAGTGCGATCTAGAAGGTCAAGACCAAAACAGAAGAAAAACAAAGAACATGACATTTGGAATGATATGGGACCTATGCCTAGTCGTTCTCAGTATCAGTTGCATAATTGCCACGTGAATTTCTATTCCATGTAATGCATGTAACAATTGCAGTGCTGTCGCGTAAGTAACGCGTTTATGTAGCTTCAGGACTGTTTGTGTTTTGCTGTTAAACTTTGTCTACGTGTAACGTAGCGTGAAAAATTATAATACCAACACATTATCGGTGCCAGATAGCGAAATACTGTTTTTTACACTTACGGTGTCTAAATTTGATTAAATTTGTTTGCAATGTTTTTCGTGTCTTTGTTGATTTGTCACGCCCACTTTAAAATGGACAACGCCTCAAGATTGTGGCATGGACCAATCAGAAAAGCCATGTGATATTTCAGATATCACATATGTGATATCTGAAATATCACAAGGTATGCAATATAAAAAAAACAAAGAAAAACCGAGGCGTCACTGGATTAAATCAAAAGGATAAACTTCATCTGCGTATGGTTTAAACGGATTTTCTTTAGAACTCATATTAAAATCGAATTGTAAGTGAATTTGTAATGTCTATCAAGATGTGGAAATTGTTTTGTCTTGCATGCAATTACTTGAATATTTGGAAGCTATATGACATTACCTAAATGTGTATGATATTTGAAATGAGTTTCTCAAATTAATTAAACGAGCAGCGTACAGGTGGCGGAAGCACAGATTGATGATTAAAACAAAACTAATACTTACTTGCTGTTGTTAGATCCAAATCCGACCATGGTAGAAGTAAACAAGAAAAAAAAATGAACAACATCATCATGAAATCAGCGAAGGTATTATCTGTCGCATGAATACTTATTGGATAGAGCACATTTATTTTTTAACAAGACATAGATAGTATTTGTTACTCCGTGTAGATTGTGCCAAAATGGTAGCAATACTATTTAGCTATTGAGATAATTATTTTGAAAGATTTACGACATTAACTAAATGTGTACGATATTTTAAATGTAATTTTCATCTTAATTAAACAAGTAGTGTACAGGTGGTGGAAGCACTGATTGATGATTAAAACAAAACTAATACTTACATCCTATAGATAGATCCAACAAGACCAAGGCAGAAATAAACAAGAAATAAACAGAAATAAATATCATCAGAAAATCATAGTTGGTATTGTCTGTCGCACGATTACCTATCGGTTGAAGCACATTTTGTATTCAACAAGACATATATTGTACGTTTTAAACTGAGAAAATTATTCCAAATTCGTCGTCATCATTTCAATAAATTAAGAAAATAACGTGACACCTTGATGACATAATGTCCAAATCTATCTTGTTTTCCAATAAATGAACCGTCTTAAAACCAGCAGCGTACAGGTGGCGGAAGCACAGATTGATGATTAAAACAAAACTAATACTTACTTGCTGTTGTTAGATCCAAATCCGACCATGGTAGAAGTAAACAAGAAAAAAAATAGAATGAAAAACATCATCATGAAATCAGCGAAGGTATTATCTGTCGCATGAATACTTATTGGATAGAGCACATTTATTTTTTAACAAGACATAGATAGTATTTGTCACTCCGTGTAGATTGTGCCAAAATGGTAGCAATAATATTTAGCTATTGAGATAATTATTTTGAAAGATTTACGACATGAACTAAATGTGTACGATATTTGATATGCAATTTTCATCTTAATTAAACAAGTAGTGTACAGGTGGTGGAAGCACTGATTGATGATTAAAACAAAACTAATACTTACATCCTATAGATAGATCCAACAAGACCAAGGCAGAAGTAAACAAGAAATAAATAGAAATAAATATCAGCAGAAAATCATAGTTGGTGTTGTCTGTCGCACGATTACCTATCGGTTGAAGCACATTTTGTATTCAACAAGACATATATTGTACGTTTTAAACTGAGAAAATTATTCCAAATTCGTCGTCATCATTTCAATCCATTAAAAAAATAACGTAACACCTTGATGACATAATGTCCAAATCTATCTTGTTTTCCAATAAATGAACCGTCTAATAAAATTTTAAAAAAAGAAGAAACTGCATCTTAAAATGTTTCAAAATGATTTTCTTAATGTCAGATTCCAATTGTAGGTGAAATTTTAATGTCTATGATGTTAAAATTGTGTTTGTCTAGCAAGCCATTTCTTGTATATTTAGAAGATATATGACTTTAACATAACAGTATGGTATTTGAAATAAGATTCTCATATTAATTAAGCAAGTAGTGCATAGGTGGCGGAAACACTGATTGATGATCAAAACAAAACTCATACTAACGATTTGCTGTACGATTTAATCAGACCAAGGCAGGCGTAAACAAAAAATAAATAGAAATAAATATCATCAGACAATCAGCGTAGGTATTATCTGTCGCACGATTACCTATTGGTTCAAGCATATTCGTTATTCAACAAGACATATATATTATTGTATACAAAGAGTAAATTATGCCAAAATTGTCGCAATAATGTTTAGCCATAAAGATCATAATGTGACACATGGATGACATAATGACCAAATCTATCTTGCTTTTCAATAATTAAACCGTCTTATAATATTCAAACTAAAGAAGTAACTTCATCTTAGATTGCTTTAAACTGATTTTCTTAAGGACACATGTCAAAATCGAATTGTAAGTGAATTTGTAATGTCTATCGAGATGTGAAAATTGCTTTGTCTAGGATGCAATTACTTGAATATTTCGAAGATATATGACATTACATAAATTTGTATGATATTTAGAATGATATTCTTATATTAATTAAACAAGTAGTGCAAAGGAGGCGTAAGCACAGATTGATGATCAAAACAAAACTCATACTTACGATTTGCTATTAGATTCAAAGAGACTAAGGCAGGAGTAAACAAGAAATACATAGAAATGAGCATCATCGGGAAATCATCGAAGGCATTATCTGTCTCATGAATACTTATAGGATAAAGCACATTTTTTATCAACAAGACATACGTTTCAACAATATATAGATATTATTGTACACACCGAGTAGATTATGCCCTAATTGACACAATAATGTTTAGCCACTGAGATCATAATGTAACGCAACGCATGTATGACATATTGACCAAATGTATCTTGTTTTCCGATAAATGAACCGTCTTATATTATTTAAGCTAAAGAGAATCTTCATCTTAGAATTTTTAACCTGATTTTCTTAAGGATGCATACCACCATATAATTGTAAGTGAATTTGTAATGTCTATCGAGATGTGTATAATCTTTTTAACTAGCATGCAATTAATTGTATATTTGATAGATACATTACTTCAAAGTGGGTGACATTTAAAATAAGATTCTCATATGTATTAACCAAGTAGTATACAGGTGGCGTAAGCACTGATTGATGATTATAGCAAAATTTATACTTTCTTACTGTTGTAAGATCCGAAACCGACCAAGGTACAATATAACAAGTAATAAACAGTAATGAACATCATCAGGAAATCAGCAAAGTCAGCTTAGGTATTATCTGTCGCATGAATACTTATTGGATAAAGCACATTTGAAATTCAAGAAGACATAAATATTATTTTATACACCTAGTAGATTATGCCAAAATTGTCGCAATAATGTTTAGCCATTGGGATCATAATGTAACACATGGATGACCTAATGACAAATCTATCTTGTTTTCCAAGTTATTAACCGTCTTATATTATTTAAACTACAGGCGAAACTTCATCTTAGTATGTTTTAAACTGATTTCCTTAAGGACACATACCAAAATCGAATTGTAAGTGAATTTGTAATGTCGATCGAGATGTGAAAATTGTTTTTTATTTGAAATGATATTCTCATATTAATTAAACAAGCAGTGTACAGGTGGCGGAAGAACAGATTAATGATTAAAACAAAGCTGATACTTACTTGCTGGTGTTAGATTTAAATCCGACCTTGCTAGAAGTAAACAAGAAAAAAAATAGAAATGAACAACATCAGCAAATGAGCGAAGTTATTATCTGTCGCATGAATACTTATTGGATAAAGCACATTTTTAACAAGACATAGATATTATTTGATACACCGAGTAGATCGTGCCACAAATTTCGCAAAAAAAATAGCCATTGAGATCATTATTTTGATGATATACGACATAAATGAGTATGATTTTTGAAATGAAATTATCATATCAATTAAACAAGTAGTGTACAGGTGACGGAGGCTGTGATTAATGATTACAACAAAACTAATACTTACATCCTATTGTTAGATCCAACCAGACCAAGGCAGGAGTAAACAAGAAATAAATAGAAATAAACATCATCAGAAAATCAGCGAAGTATAATATGTCGCATGATTACTTATTGGATAAAGCACATTTTGTATTCAACAAGACATAGATATTACATTACAAAATGAGAAGATGATGCTAAAATTGTCGCATCATGCTTAACCGTTAAGCAAATCATGTATTACCTTGATGATATATTGTGCAAATCTATCTTGTTTTCCAATGAATTAAACTACATCTTAGAATGTTTTAACTGATTATCTTAACGACACATGTCAAAATCCAATTGTAAGTGAATTTGTAATGTCTATCGTGATGTTTAAATTGTTTTTGTCTAGCATGGAATTACTTATCATAACGGTTTGGTATTTGAAATGATATTCTCATATTAATTAAACGAGTAGTGCATAGGTGGCGGAAGCACTGATTGATGATTTAAACAAAACTAATACTTACGTTCTATTGGTAGATCCAACCAGACCAAGGCAGGAGTAAACAAGAAATAAATAGAAATGAACATCATCGAAAAATCAGCGAAGATATAATCTGTCGCATGAATACTTATTGGATAAAGCACATTTATTATTCAACAAGACATAGATAGTATTTGATAAGCTGAGTAGATATTGCTAAGTTGTCGTCATATTTTTTACCCTTTAAGAAAATTATGCAACACCTTATTGACATTATGTCCAAATCTATCTTGTTTTGAAATGAATAAACAGTCTTATATCAATTTAACAATAGAAGAAACTTCATCTTGGAATGTTTCAACCTGATTTTCTTAATGACACATGTCACAATCCAATTATTGGTGAATTTGTAATATCTATCGTGATGTAACAATTGTAGTTTTTTAACATGCAAACTGCTTGTATATTTAGAAGATATATGACCTTATTATAACGGTATGGTATTTGAAATTTAAATTATCAAATTAATTAAACGAGTAGTGTATAGGTGGCAGAAGCAATGATTGATGATTAATACAAAACTAATACTTACGCCCTGTTGTTAGATCCAGCCAGACCAAGGCAGGCGAAAACAAGACATACAAATAAATGAACATCCTCAGGAAATCAGCGTTGGTATTGTTTGTTACATGAGTACTTATTGGATAAAGCACATTTTGTATTCAACAAGACATAGATCTTACATTATAAACTGAGAACATGATGCCAAAATCGTTGTCATAATTTTATGCCATCAAGAAAATAATGTAACACTTTGATGACATAATGTCCAAATCTATCTTGTTTTCCAATAAATGAACCGTCTTATATAATTTAAACAAAAGAAGAAACTGCATCTTAAAATGTTTCAACCTATTTTTCTTAATGACATATGTCAAAATCCTATTGTAGTTGATATTGTTGTATTTATCGTGATTCTAATATTGTTTTTGTTTAGCCTGCAATTACATGTATATGTAGACGATATATGACATTACCTAAATGTGTATGGTATTTAAAATGAGATTTTCGTATTAACTATACAACCAGGGTATAGGTGGCGGGATTACTAATTGATGATTAAACAAAAAACAAATAC